AACATTTTTCGAATGCTTTCATTTTAAAGAGATGTTAAGTTATATAAATAAAATTAAATGATAAGAAAATTTCAATAAACGCTAACTTATTTAATGTTTAGATAGATTTGATTTTTAAAAATTTCATAGTTGATTCAATATTTAAAAAATTCAGTGAAATTTGTATAACCACGATTTGCATTTCTTCATTGTAAAAAGCAGGCTGACTTTATTGTTTAAGATGGACTATAAAAAACCTTGTTTTAGTTTATTGCTATGCATTTATTTTTTCAATTACCTAAACCATAAGTAACTCGGAAGTTTCTATTTTTTGTAGGACTATATAAATTTTCTGTTTTGTTAGTGTGAATTAATTTATTTTCTTTGTTCTCTCTATTTTAAATTTTATTTGATTTTGTTTCATTATTTTGGTATTGAATTTTTTTTCTTCTCCTTAAAATCTACTGATAAGACAATTTTTTTTAATTTACTATACTCAATTAAATTTGAGAATTGATATTTTTTTATTCCAATCGATCTTGGAAACTGTTGTTAATATAATACTATTAAATTTTGTTATCGATAAAATTTTGTTACTTTAGACTTATTTTTTTAACTTTACAAGATAAAAATAGATGCATTGTTGAATATACCAAACATGAGCCTGAATCAAAAAGAATTTATCGAGACGTAAACCAATGGACATCTGGCACACAATCCTCTCTCTAAGGCAAACTTTCTGGAAACAATTTGCCTCAATAATTCTTTGTAGTACCAGAAAGTCCAAAGCAAGTTGGCGGAAATCTTGTTCCTTTGACAGGCTAGATAACAGTCATTCTATGAAGATTTACTTTGGTTTTCTACTGGTCTCAATGCAATCTTTAACATTTTTTTCTTTTTATTTGTAAATTGTCCCAAAAGTAAGAATTGCTTTCCATATCAATGCGTTGTTTCAATGATCATTTTTAAGTTTTTATTATCTTGTTAATGCAAATATATATATGTGTGTGTGTGTGTGTATTTTTTATTATTTTCAAATCCAATTTGACATCAAAATAATTACTTTTAAACGATGATTAAATAAAAATCGTCATTTATAAATAATTTATTTAAACAAAATTGAATACAAAAATGCGTGTTTATTTGACATTTTAAGCTGTAAAATATAATTATATTTTCAAATAATGCTTTAAAATAAAAATTTAAAAAGTGTTTTAATATTTTATAAAATGCAACTAAGATTTGATTTGTTTATGAAATATTATCTGTAATTATTTTAATACTTAAGGCGTTCCTGTAAATTATTAAATAAGAATTTTAAATATAAATATTTGAAATTTTAAAACTTTAATGTAATTAAATATTTTACAATAACGAAGCAAGTTATTACGAATTAATGAATTGTAAAAATTTAATTTATATTTTATCGATTTTGCTTATTACAATATATAACATTTATATGTTGCATTTATTATATAATAACATTATAGAAATTGATAATTATCTTTACTCCATTATAAAGTTCGCGTTATCAAACAGTTATCGGTACTCTAAAGATAATAAGGTTAAATGCAGAATAGGTTGGTCGTTGCGAGAAAATTACATTGGCCAATATGCGATAATAAAAATTTACTATGTTAAATTATATGGGTGATTTTATTAAAACTTTAATAGCGTAATGCATATAGAATATTGTACGCTGTTATTACCAATTTTATTATTTATTTATTCAAGAAATGCTCAGTTAAACATAAAATATTCTTCTGTATAGGCATTTGTTATATTAGTCCTTTACTCATAAATATAAGAAGAAAGATACTGTATATCAAAATTGAAAATCTCTTTTATATAGGTTTTAGAAACGATATACCTATTTCTCCATATAAGTTTATTTACAATATTCTTCTCTGTAGTTTAATATAGATGCGTTTTCTGTATTTTGATTTTGAGGAATAAAAACTGGTTTCAAATATACTCTTTCTACAGTTTGTTAATGTCTTTCTAATTTTTTAAAAAATTAATACGATGTTTTCTGGAAAAAGAAAATAGTATACAGATTGTAATTATTAAGTAAAAATCTCCATGGCAATTTAATTTATATATTATAGTATTTTTTATGGCTCCAAAAACATTAAGTAGTTGCAAGTAATCGATAAAAAATACATTATAAGTTATTAGATTGTGAAATATTTTAATTTCTAACAGAAAAAATTTATTATTTAAAAAGTTTTGCTACTAAATACTTTTAGTCTGTTTAATTAAAAAGGATTTTAGCTAAATTGGTATAGATCGAAACGAAATATATTCCAAACTGTCAAAGGCTAACTACCATAATCCTTCGGATGATCGAAATGGATTTAGTAGTAAGTCGATGAAATTTATTTTCGTTGAAAGCTAAAAATGTAAATAAAAGAAATTCTTAAGAATAAAACCACAGACTGAAGTGAACGACCGAACTTTCAAAAGACACTAAATTGCAATAAATTCGATTAAAGTCCAGATGGTCATTCCGAAACATCCTTCCACAGAGTCATTTTCGAGAGTGCTTTAGAATATCTTGCAAGATCGGATCTTTTCACAATGAAAGTTAATAGGCGAAAGCATTATATCTTCGAAACTCTCGAAACTATCATTATTCCAAACTTTTAAGATATATATTCATGTTTATATGCGTAAAGATCTATAATCTTAATAAAGCTTGTTTGCATATTTTTTAGGGAATCTGTTAACCATCATTGGAGTAGCTGGAGAAAAAGTCAAACTCCCGTGTGATATAACTCCTCCGACGCCAGATGATGACGTTTCGCTTATTCTTTGGTATAAAGACGATTTTGTGGCTCCGATTTACAGTCTAGACGGGCGTCGAAGGAGGCTGAGCCAAGCTAGACACGCTGTCAATGATGCTATTGCTAGCAGATCTTACCTGTCGATCGGACACAAACCAGCAATGTTGGAACTAAATCCCGTGACTCTAGAGGATGACGGTCATTATAGGTGCCGAGTAGACTTTAAGAAGGCACAAACGAGAAATGCCGATTTAATACTCAGAGTAATAGGTAAGAATATTTAGGATTTCCCTAATCATATGGAAAAACTCGAGTGAAAGAATATTTTAACTACATTTTTAACGTTTCTGTTTTGGATATTCACCAAATAATGGGTACATATAATAAAAAGTTTTAATATTTCTATGTTGTAAGTATTTTATTTGACGAAACTATTTTCATCTTTTTACTACAACTGAAAGGATTTTTTATTGCTAAAAACTAGGTGGATCCTTTTATAGAGACATATTACTTCTTTATTCATTTATCTCTAACTTCGGTGGCATTTCAACCATTTTTATCTCATATTTCAAAAACTAGTTTTGTTAATTTAATCAATTATACAGAGAACTAACCTAGTAATTTTTTATTCTCTAACTTGTCATTATTTTAATGCATCTATTAAAGATAGAGAAGCGTGTTTGTAAAAATATATCCTTATATTTTCATAAAATTTTTAGATTTTTTAAGGAATTTAAATATTCAAAACTCTATGTATACAATGTTTCATTTAAAAACAGGAAAATTTTAGTACTCCTAAATTTTAATATTTAAATATCAAGTATAGTTTGGTAAAATGTATGCATATATTTTATCTGTAGATATATATATATATATATTTATTATAAATTCAGGATTATTTAAAGAAAGCAATTTTCTGTTATNATAAATAATTAGTTTATTCTGTCACCACGAAAAATATTTGTAAAATAAATTAATAATAATGAGAGTGAAAGAATTTAAATTTTGAAATTTCTGTATATTAATTTTAAAAGTTGAACATTTGTATTTTATTATTATTTAAATTAAAAATTTTTATAGACAAAAATTACTGTTGTTTTAATCACCTCATACATACATATTTTGCAGTAAAGTTTAATGGAAAATATACATAAATCAATTTGAAATAGGCGAAAATGCATAAATCACCATAATTATATAATTCTTGCAAGAAAATTAAACATCTCTTTCGAACTATTATAATGTAATTAAATTTATGATACTTCTGAAATTTATAAAATTATTACCATTAAAAAGTGAAGCCTTAATGAAAATTAATGATTTGTGAATATAATTACTGCCATGCAGTTTTATCATGATGTAATTTTATTCAAGATGTTTGAAACTTAAGTACTTTCAATGTTTTAATTTAGCTTACATAAGTTAATAGTGAAATAAAGAATCGCTTCTTAAGTTATACGTTAAGAAAATAAATTTTTTAAACTAAAAATAAATTAACACTAGGCTATCATTCCAATTATTCCAGCATATTCAAACATTTTTCTCTCTAACATTACAGTAATTAATATCAAAACAATGAGGAATTAATGGCAAATACATTCCTTTAAATAGTATATTCAAAACTAAATTACTTTAGTAACCTTTTAAAAGAAAGTTAATTAAAATCTTCTAAAAGCATCTGTAAATTATTTTCATACTTCATCATTTTAAATAATTTTTTTTATTTCATTCGAGGCACGCAATAATTTACATATTGTAATAGATAAACATTGTGTATTTATTACAGAGTTTATTCAAAAAATGCAAATGTGTGTTTCCGCCCTTTTTTTTCCTTAGATGTTTGCAGAGCAAATATCCCGTTATTGTTGCTAGGTTATTTATATTTTTCACAAATTAATTTAAAATGAGATGCGATATTCGTTTACCTTTCATAGAATAATATGGTGAAAAACAAAATTTTTCATGACATTCATGAAATTTTCTGGAAACGTTTATATCGACGATATCGATAGACAACAAATAGCTTTAAGGAGACAAAGAAAGACATTAAGGACGAGCCACTGTGATACAAAAGTATCCTAAATGTCTTTGTAAACAGGCAATTTCACAAAATGGTATCGGCGGTAATTCGTCTTCAGCTATTTAGATATATTGCTTTTAGTACATTTTATTTTTTACGCGTTTAATTAAGTTTAAAGCATTTACCAGGTTGTTTACTTTTATTTTTTTTTTTAGTTCCACCTAAAAAACCGATAATAACAAATAAGAAAGGTGAAATGTTACAGAGTCTAATTGGGCCATATAATGAAGGTAGTGAACTAGAATTAATCTGTGAAGCAGACGGAGGTGAGTCAGTGTTTTGTTATACTTTGTGAAAAGTAGAAAAGAGGATTACTTTACAAGTACTCTTTGTGTAGGAAAGCCTAGGCCATCGGTTACTTGGTGGAGAGAGTCTGTTCTATTAGACGACACTTTCGAACTGACGAGTGACGGTGTTGTAAGAAACGAACTGAAGATACCTGTACTCCAGAGGAACGATTTGATGGCCATGTTCACATGTCAAGCTGCCAACAGTAACTTTACGCCCCCTCTGTCAACTGCAGTAACTATTGACATGAACTGTAAGTGGATAGTTATAAGCTTTTGTATAACAAAGAGTTGTTTCTTTATATTATTTTCTTAATTTGTTATATGACGTGTAAATATCGATTGACTTTTGTAGTTAGAAGATATATAAAATTTTAATTATAGATAAAAATAAATTTAACAAAACAATAATAATAATAAAGAACCAGAACAAATATTTCTGAATTTTTCGATCAATTTTTACTTTTTAAAACTGTAAATTAATAAATTATTTGCATTCCAGAAAATATATTTAATTGATGTTTGTTATGACTTAATTATCAAATGAACTTATTCATTGATTTTAAATACAGTTAAATCGATTTTTGTATTTGCATTACTTACAATTATACATTAAATCTGAAAGTAAAATTTTGTTTCGATTTAGTTAAACCTGTAGAAGTAAAAATCAAAGGTGAATTTCGATCTGTGTCAGCACGTAAACCAGTCGAAATTGAATGCAATAGTAAAGGTTCTCGACCCGCCGCTACTATCACTTGGTGGAAGGGTAGTACGAGAATGACAAGTACTAGAGATAGATTCTCGCTAGACGGTTCTAAATCAACAAGTATATTAACATTTACACCAACGTTAGAAGATAATGGCAAGTATTTGTCTTGCCGAGCTGAAAATCCACACATTCCTGGAAGTGCTACAGAAGATGGGTGGACGTTGGAGGTCCACTGTAGGTAACTGCGAAATTATTCCTCTTTTAAGTTTATTAAAAATCTTTTGTAATTACATTTAATATCAAAATTTAACTAAATTCTAATTTTAAATTTAAAAAAACTAAAAAAGAAGAGAAAATAATTAACATTTTAAAAGCTACATTTGGCTTTCGAATAAACTCTAAATTATATTTAGTTATTAATTAATTCAAAGTATATTTTATTTAACAAAAATTATTATATTTATAAATCTTTATTGTATTATTAATAATATAATAAAGAATATTAAATATTCTAATTTTATTATTCATAAAGTAACTTTGCAAAATTATTTATAGCATTTTTCTTAAATTAAGCTGTTTACTTTTCTAGACAGATGACTTATCTTAAATATTTTAAAATTAATATTTAGAGTAAAATGTAATCATAAATATGTACATACTTTTAATTTATTTTTAATATATCTACATCTTTATTAAACGTTTAATGTTCTATGCAGTTTATTAATAAATTATAAATTTAGAAGTTTAAGGAAATATATTTCAATCGGCAAAAGTAGCGAATAGAGTTAATAATTTTTAAACATTTACTTTGATTTTATTTTTAAAAATTATTAATGTATTCAACATTGTTTATTATTAACAATAAAATATTCAATATAATTCTGCTAACTTAAGAAAAATTTAGGTTAAGCGCTCTGTAAAATGTTAAAGAGATTTAAGTATTTATGTTTTCACATCAATAATATGTATAAATTCATAAGTAAATGTATATCAAACGACAAAAACTTTTATATAAGTCTACAGATGTACATTTGGTCAGAAATGTCTATAAATATTTAAAAATTCAAAATGCTATGTGCATTGTATAAATATATATAAATCAAATTCCCTTTTATAACTATAATCAATAAATGCTTTGTAAAATAGGTAAATCATTCAAAAAATACTTTAATAATTTATAAAAATTTTTATAAATGGTTTCTATGGTTACATTGTTTATCTATCTTTCGACAATTTTTTCTTCGTCAAGCTTCGATTACAAAACTTCAATTTCTGTAATTCCCAACAAGGTCATTTCAGATTAGAAGTGAGTTTGTGATTGGTTTGTGACCGGTTCTGAACCATAATCACGGGAGAAAAGTAATTATAACTACAGCTGCATTCCCAGTTACTAATATAGCATTGTTCTCATTGCTGATTGCTACCGGCCACATCAGTTCAAGCTGTGTGCGAAGAGTTATAAATGTTTTACTGGAAGCAACGTAATAAAGTCAATGTTCTCACAACACCCCATAGCTATGCCTTTAGTTCGTGATGAACGAAGGAAGATGGCTGATATTTCTGAATTCGCTCACATTGATAATTTCATTATTTCAAATTCCTAAACTAAAGATTAACAGAAAGTTTAATTATTAATCGTTATAACAATTTCCATTTATATTAGTTTCATTACATTATTTAGAAACTTAAAAAAAGTGTAGAAATTTCAGTTATTATAAAAGAAAAATAAAATAAAAAAATTTCGTATCTATAATTCACGCTTGCGATATTAACTCATCATATGGACTTCAAACATGTAATTGGCGATGTACCATCCCATTATTATAGAATATATTATGTATGATAAAACGTCGAAAGTAATCTGCAAACATAAATGTATAATAAAAGTAATTTCAATCTTTTCTAACGTTTTTTTCCTGTAGGTACTTTATTTTGATTATGTACTTTTTCATCGATAACAGCTACAATTTTATATAATTGGTATTTTAACGAACTACATAAATGTTTAGACGAATTTAAATATAGCATTAGTAATTTAACTATTTTAATCGAATCTTAAAAGAAATATTATAAATGGGTAGAAAGATAGTAATATTAATCTTTCTTGCATGTCCATAATAAGAGTAAGATATGTTAATGACTACATTATGAAGCTATTCACGTAAATTAAAAATGATCTTCGCTAACCTCAAAATAATTAATTGACCTATATAGTGTACAGGATTATTAACCATTTCGTTTCAGACGTTCCACAAATCACAATGAAATTGGGAAGTAAATTAAGGCATACTCATATACAAGAAGGAAATGATGTTTATTTTGAATGTAATATCAGAGCCAATCCGTGGGTTTCGGAAATAACTTGGCGATTAGAAGGGCAACAAATTCAGACCAACATATCTGCTGGAATAATCGTTAGTAATCAATCCTTAGTTTTACAAAAGGTTCGACGTATCAGTACAGGAAGGTATACGTGTATGGCAACAAATACCGAAGGAGAAGGCGAAAGTAACCCCATCCATCTTAGAGTACAATGTAAGAAATAGTTATATTTATTTTTAATTTTAAAAAATACTTTAACCAGTCAACTTGTTTTTATGTACGGATTTCAAATTTAACTTTATAACATATTAATCATTCAAATTGGTAATACCATTTAATAAAATTAAATGGTTTAAATAATAATAGGCTCCGTTCCAAGTAATGTCGAAAATGATTAATGACAACATGATGAATAAGTTCATAGAAATTTTGTTAAGCATTTAACAGTTTTTAAGTTTAAAGTTTTCGATAATCAATTATTTGAATTATAGATGCTCCCATATGTGTACCAGATCAAAAACAGTCCTATGGAGCAGCGAGAGATGAAATCGTAAAAGTTTCTTGCGAATTAGAAGCAGATCCACCCGAAGTTAAATTCCGTTGGGAGTTTAATACCACATTGGAATTGGAAGAAATTTTGGCATTTTCGGTGGAAGGTACAAGAAGTGTTGCTTTTTATACTCCTCATTCCCAATACGATTATGGCTCCTTGTTGTGTTGGGGTAAAAATGGAGTTGGAAGTCAGAAAGAACCTTGTGTCTTTACTATTTTCCCTGCAGGTATATATTTTCAAGTAATTTTTTTCTGTTTTATTTTGTAGAAATGATTCTACATTCTTTTTTTATTACACAAAAAATAGGAAATAACATGTTTACAATTAATAATATTTTAAAATAAATAATTAATACTTTATACTTTTACTAAAAATTCTTTACATTCTTATACTGTCGTAATCATTTTAATAATCGAGGTTAATGTTATCGGCCCTATAGCTGACCTTTTAATAATCTAAAACAAAGTTGTATAGGATACATCATACTGTATTAATTGTCTATTCTGTATTTTAATAATGCACTGTTATATTCTATTTAGAGGTTTACGGTTATATAGTTTCTCAATTTATTATAGAATTTATATATTCCAAATGTTCAATTAAAGGCAATTTCGAACAATTAGCTTTAACTCAGTTCTCTCTTCGATGATATTGATGTAAAGTAATTGAAGATGGAATCAAATAATTATTAAACATTACATATAATTATTACTTCATAATGAAATTATAATTATGTTTATTATGCTTTATTTCACTCGTGAAAAGGTTAAAAATAACTATCTGCCTATTTAATACAACTATTTTAATATTTTACACCTATTAATTTTAACAATATTGAATCACATGAAGAGAAAATGTTATTAATTGTTTCAATCCTAATTATCTTGTACTAATGAAATTTAGATAAGGTTTATCTTAATAATATATTAAACATAATGAAATATAGATCCACACGATACTATATATCTTCTACTGATAATTAAATTCATAATTTATTTCCAAAATTATAGGTCCTCCAGAATCTGTGCAAAATTGTACAGTTATCAATAAAACTGAAGAATCCCTTCATGTAGAATGCATTGAAGGATACGATGGGGGTCTTAAACAGCGATTCTTCATGGATGTATTAGATGCAGATTCAGAAGTTGTTCAAACCAGTGTTAATTCTGATTTTCCTATATTCTTTGCCCACGGATTATTACCGGGAGCGAATCTTTTACTCGTTATCCATTCCGTTAACGACAAAGGAATGAGCCTTCCAGTCCGTTTGCACACAGTAACATTAACGCCACCGGCATCTAATGAAAGGCGAGGTAAATTTTTTTACTATCTCATTTTATAATATACAAAATATAATAGAAATTATATCAGTAATTAAATAATTAATTCAATTAAATTCAATATTAATAAAGAGAAATTTCGTTAATTATTTATCGATGCGGTTCTCCGAAACATGAATTTACTATCAAGCATTCGTTTTCATAAATTTCATGAAGAGATTATCTCGTTAATGCGATAAAATCGGTAAAAATCTGTCTGTGTCATTTTAGCAATGCACATTTCGAAATTTTTGAATTTTTTAGTGCTGATATTCTTTTTAAAAATACATCTGGCATCAATATTTAGATAAGCGAAACGTTGACTTAAGTTTGATTGATTTTTCTTAAATGTTCATGAAGTGAATATTGTCACTTTCCATTAATGTATTCTTTTCCAAGGAATGATTTTTTTCTATTTGAGAAATTTAGTTCTATGTTAAAAACAATATCTATATTAAAAAATTCTGGCAAAGTAAGTATATTTAAATGTTTTGCAATTGCATAAGATTTAAAACGTTTTAAAACAGCTATTTATATAACATTTATATTATTATACCAATATCATACTTTAGAATTTATAAAATTTATAATTTTTAAAAGGAAATATTTTTAAAACTTTAAGAAAGTTTTGTATTTTTGAATCCAGTTCCGTGATTTACTTAGTTTGTAATTTGCATTAATCAGATCAAGACGCTTACAATGTCTCAATTTAATTAACTTTAGTAATTACATACAAAAATAAGAAATTACCTTTCTGTGGTAACGGAAACTTAAATTCACTTAAATTTGAAGTAACTTTAATAAAATATTTCTGAAACTTCCCTTAAAAGAAATTGCCGAAAAATTGTTACAAAGACTTCAGAAACAATACCTCGTAGTTCTTGAAACTTCTATAAAATTGATACGATTTTCGACACTACTTTTTTATTGAATTAGGGAATATCATAAAGAAAGCCGATCACAAGAATTTGGTGAAGTGAAGGAAAAAAAAACTATCGTTTGTAATCCTAACTTTAAAAATTAGATAAATGTGTTACAAAAATCGAGATTTAAGTAATCAATAATTCTAAAAATGGCAGAGTTTTGATAATTTGATTTAAGAGATTCTATATATTAATTATAAAATCCTCTATCAATTTATTATTGTAGATAAAATAGTTTCGGGAAATGGATATGCTCCTTGGAATCGAAAGTAAGTTAGAGTTATATAAAAATAAACAGGAGATTTCCTTTACAATCAAATATATTCTATCTAAATTTTAGCTGTTGCTGCATAATCTGAATTCAGATCAGTAGCTTTGTCACATTTTGTATTGTAAAACTGTTTTCTTGAACCCGTAACGACTGTTTAGAGTCAAAGAATAGAAGAATTGGTAATTTCCTTGCTATGCTCAAATATAAAATAAAATGTATAGAAAGGAATGAATGTAAAGTATTATTTATCAAGTTTCTTCTTTCGATACAAGTAATACATAAATAACAGTCTAGCAGATAAAATTTATAGCAAATTATAAAGAATTATTTTTAAAAAAATACATAAAAATCATAATAAACAAATTTTAAAATCAAATTTATATTGAGATAATATATATTTATAATTTATAATTATATATGCTATATAATAATGTATAAGTTTAATGTCTATGAATTTTCTTTGTAGAATTATTTTTCAATACACTAATTATTGATATTATTATATCATGGTTTATAATAAATTAATAAACGTCATAATTTACTGAATTTGGCAAGTTATTAGAAAAAATTCTATTCATTTTTAACTAATTATTATTTAGTTTTAATTCAGAAAGTTTTTAAAGATCATTAATCTTATCAGAACTCTGTCTTAGACACTGTTCAAATCAATTTAATTCTAAACTATAGTTTAAACACAATAAAAAATCATATAAACTTTAACAATTTTTAAAAACTTATTTTTTTAATATTTTAGATGATATTTGGACGTTAGCATTGAGTCCCATTCTAATAGTTCTAATAGCAGTTGTTGTAGGAATATTCCTGGTCGTTATCGTAATTTACACTGCTAAAAAACTGAGGAGGAAATCGTACACGGAAGAAGGTAAGTAATTAAAATCAATTATGTAAATGTATCGGTAAATAATTTATTCCGCAGCAATGGTTTAGAAAGATCTCTAAAATATTATTTTCCAGCACAACATTAGTCATTAACCTATGTTTCGAAACTTATTTCCATAATACATTTCCATCCCACTTTAGTATTACATTACTCATTTATATTCCAATCAACATTCTGCGGATAAGTTCACGAACTAACGAATAGCAGGTTGATGGTTAAGCAGTTCTGGAATGTTTAGAACACCTGGTTACCTTTCGTCTTCCAGCAAATGCATCACAGTTAGCTTCTCTCAATCAATCATTCTGCCTTTTCCATCACACACAACATGGAAAAATTTCTCGCCTCTCATTCATGTACATGAGAACTACCAAATAATAAATTTTTATAATTTTTGATTAATTCATTTTTGTATTTTATTTCATGAAAGTCCTAGTTTATATATATATATATATTCCTGTTCGTAATTCTCTTCCTCGTTGTTTTAAATTTATAATAAAAATTTTTATTACAAATCTGTAAGTTATCTAATTCTATAGAGTTATTACTTTTATGTTACTTAACTTTTTATTTATTAACTGTTATTTTAAAATATTACTTTCATTAATTATATGTACTTTAATTTTAGCCATGAACCTTAGAAGAAAAAATTATAAGTAAGTAGATTTTTTTAAAATTTAATCTTTATATATATAATTCTAAAAAATTATAGAAAATAAATCTCTATAATACAAGTTTTTAGCGATTTACTAGTAATTTTTTTTCAATTCCTCAATAAAAGTAAATCTTTTCTTGAAGTCTCTTTTGTAGAATTTACAAAAAGAAAAAAGAATTTAAGTAAAGCTATATCTTAAATCATAAAAGATAACAAGAATTTTTTTCCTTTTTTTGTTAAATATCTCTTGTCAATGGTTTCTTTTATACAATTCAATAAAACTACTTCCTTAAATGTAATTTAAACTTATTTTTTTTTTTATTATTATTTTTCGATTAAATTTATTTATTAGTTAGAAAAATAATAATATATAATTTATCTTTCTTCTTAAATTACTTATGAAAGAAAATAGAAATAATAATAATAATAGAAAAGAGATGAGTTATATTGATTGTTTTTACTTGGTATTAATGTATATTACATAAATCACAAATGAATATTTTATTTAATAATAATTAATTTTTGAATAAAATATTTCTGAAATGTTTCTGTTGTAGATTTCAAAATCTCTTTTCTAAAGAAGAAGATGTTTACAAAGAAACTGGGGAAGAAAAATGTCCTGATATCATACCAGGTAAAATAAATAGAAAAAAAATATAAATATTAATCTAATTTATTATGCTATAAGATAGAAAAAAATTAAACAGTAAATTAATTTAAAGCTAAAATTAATTGCTTTTTACTGTTAATTATTATTTATATTTTATTTTAAACAGTTTAAGTAAAATATTACAAAGTATATACAAATAAAAAGACTACATAAATTGTATAATTTATTTAAAAACTTCATATAACTTATAAATTTAATAAAATTAAAATGTAGTCCAATTCGAATTTTACTGTTATTTTATTCGGATATTGAAGGCCTACTTTAAAAAATAAATCAATAAAATATATAACCACATTATAGAGTTACAGCGGTGGAAAATATATTACATGCTAGTAAAATATTGCATCTGCAGTTTCAAAATGTATTGAAAATCATGTTCTGTATATCAAAAACTTGATCAAAAGTAGTATCTTTCAAATTGCCACTTTAAAGTTTGCAATTTTATTCAATGATTTTACGGGAAATGGAATCTAGTGTTTGATTTGCTCTACATTGTAAAGAGTTGTTTTGTATGTTTGTGGTATCATTATCTACCTGTCCTTATCAGAGAACATACTGTTTCGTCCAGCTTTGCACTTGTTCAACCATTGTCCTAATGATTTGCAAACATTTCAGTAGCAACAACTCTCATCCTGAATTCGAATTTCTACTATTCTTCCATGTACAAAATTTAAATTGAATTCCCTCTTTTTGGGAATCCCTTAAATTGAATCCCTTAACTTTAAACAAGTAAGAGAGAGTTTCGAAAATAATTTTAAAATATTTCGAACAACTTTAAAGAGAAAAATATTTACTAGCCTACAAAAATACACGACCGTTAACGGATCGTAATTATTTTCAATCTATAAACCTCGGGGTTAAAAAATTATTTTTAAAACATAAAATATTCTTTTCAGATATAAAAGCAGATATTTATGAAAGAGAAGCTAAAGATAATAAACTCGTTGTTGAAACTAAGATTAGTTGTTTATCGGGGAAGGAGAGAATTGCAGACAGTTTGATTGAAAAAGAAGTAAGCTGCCGTTTCAATTTAAAAACTATAATAAAATCTAAAAATGGAAGAGTTTTGAAATTCATTTCTTTATTTATTTTTTTCAGAGCGAATGCACATCTAATCAAAACAGAGTGTATGACAATTATACATCGGAAGTAATCGCGTTCCAGAATGCTGTAAGTAACACACCTGACCATAGAAAAACGAAAGTCCTACCTCTTTCGTTAAAAGAATTCGAATCTGGCCATTGTACATCAGTATACTTACCATTTGTTAATAGCAGACAAACAGACGTATGAAAGTAAGTTTCTATTAAAAAGAATTTCGAAAATATTTAAATTTAACTTTTCAATATCAAATTTATATTCATTTATGTAAAACGATGCATTTTTTTACTTAAAAAAACTATCAAATTTATTTAATGAGAATTTTAACTTCATTTTATATAACTTTTCAGATTAAAAATTATGAAAAAAATAATAATAATAGGCTCAGAGATGAGAAATTCAGAAGTTCGAAAGAATTTCTGAAATGAAGTGTAATGCTTCCTGCACACTCAGGAAACTTGTGCCCACTTCAGTTCCAACACAAATGGAGTCGGATCTCCTCGAATGCCTTGTGACAAGTGAAATTTTCGACAATGGACTGACTCAAGCTATACAAAAAATAATAATAATAAAAAATAAACCATATTGTGTCAGTTGAGCTCAACATTTTTTGGCATTTTGTAAAAATTCATTCACAAAAAAATTTAAAAAAGAAAAATATATCTATATAAATATATAAAAATATAGAAAGATATAAAATAGCTTATGACAGAAAACAACAAAAAAAAAGAAGTGTTATATACAGTAAAACTGTTAATAGACTTATTGCAATTTTCATTACAAAAAAGAAAAACAATGTTTAATATCTGCAAACACTGGAAAAAAAGTGGGGAGATTTTTAAGTTTTGCATTTTTAAAAAAAAACTCAAAATATGTAATTGTTTTATGGTATTATTAATAAGTATCAAACTTTATAAGACATCAAACCTTCAATTTCTGAAGGAAAAAAATAAACTAATTTTATTCATTAAATGTTATTTGAATAAAATCTTATGTATTATATGATAACAAGAAAATTTTACAATCGTTCTTTTCGAACATTAATGTATTTAATACATTCGAAAAATTTAATTCACTTGAAAATTTTCTAAAAAAAAAAATTTCATAAAATGCTTTGTAATAAAATTTAACTTTAGCTAATTAGAAATAAAATTTTATGCAAAAATCG